TGAGTCTTTTTTCACGGACCAATTTGCCAATTTGCCTAGTTATGCAGGCATCCCGGGCGCGACCTCTCGAACAAGTTTTCTATGCACACCAGGCTGAATCCCCCTAAATGACAAATGTTCAAGTCCGATTCCTCAGGAGGGATTTCGTTTGTTTCGAGATGAAGACTGTGGTTTCCGACGATTTGCCAGTATCCAGATGAACAGCTTGCCAAAACTCCTCCAGGCGATGCCCAAGGGCTCAAAGACTAAGAAGGACCATTTAGTTGCTTGAACGAGGTCAGACCTGATGTCTTACTGACAGTAGACATGGGTTTCTTCGGTATTTCCACTGGTGCATTCCACGTAGCCGCCGTAACGGAAGAGCGATGCCGCAGAATCGCTGCGGAAAAGCCGTGTATCTATAGATACGGTATGGCCCATTTATTCCTCGTTGCTGAGCACTAGGTTAAACACAGATGGTTCGTCACTCGTTCTCACTGTGTGAGATTGCTATCATTGTGGTATAGCGACACACAAGCAATTACTTCTTGCAAGTCCGTATTGAATTGTTCGCTGACAGAAGCTAGGACTTTATTTGCGTATATGTTAAGTTCCTCCGCCAGAAGGACTTGATTATATGACCGTGCGGAGACTCACTTCATGGCAGACGTTAGACGGTGATCCATTTCTACGGTAGACATGCTGAGGTAGTAAACTATTGTTATCCAACTCACATCACTACGTCTCAAGTGTAGACCGCACCGAAAGGAATTGACAACTTGCGTTCCTGGATCGTCGGTTATATCAGTATGTAGGTCAGATCGGTAAACCCCCGAATACTCTGCCTCCAAGTTCTAAACAGAAAGCAAGTGGGACCGCTTCAGTTTTACACGAGTGACTTATGAGCCTAGTAATATGCGAAAGAAGGAGAATGAGTATAGCTTCATTTCACGGCAGCTGATCAAGCCAAATATCGTGCTCTTCAGGGCATGCTTCTATGCAGCTAGGACCAGGTGTCATTGGTCTTGTACGCATAACTTAGCTGAAAAGAAAACGGTTTTGGTCTGCGAACGTCAGTAAGCGGCATTTAATAAGCCACAGATCTCGAAAAATTGTTATCTCAAAACCTCTTGTCTAACAGTTCCCGTGAAGCTATCTGTTACAGACCTAAATTAAATGGGAAGCTGTGCTCTTTTACACTGTAAACTGCTGTTGGGCGGAGCCTGGGATACCAGTCGGTAAGCATTGTTACGTAAGAGGTGTCAAATACGACAGTACAGAAGTCGGAGGCGACTGAACACATAGTATATTGTGCAGGCTACAAAAATAGCAAGCAAATCAGACAGAGCGAGAAACGTGCAGCGAGGTACTCACCAAAACGGTTTGTGTCAATGGATGTGCATTCAGTAAAACAAGTGGATGTTTCGAAGATTAAAACAACCGTAAAATCCAATGTTAAAAATTACTGAAAAAGCTTGTTTTCCGATACACTACTGCACTAATGCCTTTGTCAATCTTGGACAACTTAAGGGCTCTCATTGAGGTGTATTTCACTAAGACTATAAGACGCTGACAGCGGACTGGAGTCCTAACTTCTGCTACTGAACATTATTGGGAAATAGCGGTATGCTTATGTACCATCGTCATCAAAAATTTTGCATTAATTACGCTGCACATAACATTACACGTGCAATAGAATAGTAATGTTAGGGTTACGCTTTCGGTTGTTATGACCTGTAATTGCAACGTTTTCGCAGTTGTTTACATAAAATTGTTCTCAATTAGGTTTTCTTCCCATCCATTCATCCATCACCTCGCATACTAGCCACTGTCAGTGACAGTGGAAGATAGGCGGGGCTATATCCCAGCCCAGCTAAAGTCCCCCCAAGCTAAGTGGCTTAAGCTGCTGGCTAGTTGGCTTCCGCCTCTAGCGGTCGTGGGTTCGATCCCCAGCAGGGGACTGGGGGGATGCTCACTAATGACGAACCCCAGTGGGGCGAAACGCGTCTGGTGCGTTCCAGGACTAGGTTGTGCTATGTAGCTTGTGAACTACCGGGATGAGTGCTAACGAAGTTACAGCTCAAATCCTGCTACGCACGTGCAATACAAAATAACGACATAGTTTATTCTTAAGTTCACGGTACCCGGGGAGTACAGTGGCCGACCCCAGTAAAAGTTCAGGGCATATTACTCGCGCTTAACTCTATGCACTGAACACGACAGTCCCATTCCATTGGTCCAAACTTTTAACATGTCCTCAGTTGCCTTTCAAATGGGACTTACCGAGTCTAAATCTTTCTAGTACCTAGTAGTTCCGAGAAACATACATTGGAACGCACCGGTCAGGTAAGTAATTTGTGCTGTACATCAGCACCAAGGTAATTATCAGATCAACCGTTTGTTCACTTTCAGGTTTGCCAAAAGAGAATTTCCTTGAGATTCATCGACTGAGATATTAGCATCGGGAGCGCCGAGCCTTAGTATAACTAGCTGTTTACTCCAGTAAGAAGATAAACCAGATTTATAATGGATAGACACGTGCTTGTTCAAATCGTCTGATGGTCTTCCTACGATTGCGAATGTTATCACTAATTGACACAGCTGACTGTAGTACCAAATAATGGGTGACGTACGCTTCACAATCCAATAGTCAGTTAAAACGTACTCTGTGTGCCATCCACAGCATAAATCTGGGGACTGTTTGGATGGGTTCCGTTATGGCCTCAAGGCGGATTCACCATTAGGCAGCACATGGTAGCGGTGATCGGGTTCATCTGCAAGACGTCGTCTAGTGTTCGTGATAGCAACCGGATGCCTAAAACTCAGTTTTCGCTGTATAGGTCAGCTTTTATCTGTAGAGTACATTCAGGTGTGAAGGTCAATCGGAAGTGCGTCTCCGACTGGTTGTCAGGGTCGTCCATCACCGCATGGCAAACCCATTTCTATTGGTCAGATGCTTTTAGCTCTCTGTTGCTGTACGAGAAATGCACCTTTTCTGTGCATTACAAATGGCTGCGCATTGACAAGGAAATTTGTCGGCTTTCAAACCTTATGTCATTGTGGTTGGCTACTTGCAGTATTGACCGACAAATCGGTAAATGCTGCTTGGTCTCACTCTTACTAGTCGCTAATTCTACTTACCTTTCCCAATTACTACCTAGGGTGCGTTCAAATTTGATGGTACACTTTTCATGCTGGGATTGTTGCGGTGGTTTAAATCAGACTTCTTTGGGGTTAGTATTGCTGGCACAAGAAATATCCCATTATGATAGGATGGATTCAGCGTACATTACTATTCACCGATCAAGCGTTCACTTTTAATCACCGAATCGTGTGGAAGCGTGGAATAAAGGTCAAGTAGTTGACAGCGACAGTCAGCATGAAGCTGACGCCGTCAAACTTATGAATTTTACCGCGTTAACCTATGCCTTACTAAAGTAAGCCCACTCACTTAGTCAAGCTGTTTGCATGAATCGGTGGTAGTCATCCGATAGTGAAGCTTCAGTGGACAGCAGTGGAGATTACACGAAATGATATGTTATCTCAAAACGTATGTTTTCTGGTATCATTATCTGGCCTTACGCATCAAGCTGCTTAGCCCAATGGTGATGTTCTCACTATAAAGGCAACATCTGGGTGTTTTTTAATTTTGTCAAATCCGGTGGGGAACTACCAACGCGAGAGAAGGAATCGATAATGTTATATAAATTAGTGCCGACTGCGTGACAGAAATGTGGAGTAATACTTTGCAGGTTCCACTTAGAGGAGCTCTCCGAAAGTTTGGTTAAGAAAACTAACCTGATGCGCTTTAAGAAGAGACCTTCTTTGCATTCGTTCCGCATTACGAACTATACTTTATGTTTTCCTGGAAGCGACAACTCCAGTGGATGCACAGCTTTCCGTTCTCTTCGAAATCCAACACTATTTCAATTTTTTTGCTTTTCGATTGGTTTCACTTGATGGAAAGACCTGAAAATCCACTAGGAGCTACTTCGATTGTAAATAGTCCTACCACTTACTTGTCCTCTTCCATTGCTTTTACAAAATAATTCAGACGGCCGTCGGACTACATCTCATTCTAGATAAGCAAATAACATTTGCTCATTGTTGTTTACATTCCACCGCTTTCTTTTGTTTTCCTTCCATTGCTGATCGCGAATTGAGTGGTCTCCTGGGGTTTCTAAACTAAAATTTAACAATACCACAACGCGAATTGCTATAGACACACTGGTGAGAAAATTGTTGCCACGTTCAAATGAGCTAGAGGTTTGAGCGGACTGAATGGCTGAAGCGCCTCTCTCGGTACCTATAACTGGACTCCAATGATGAGTTGATACGGTGCTGGCCTACTTGCTCCTCAGCAACATCGGCATAATGACAGCTGGAGGGCAAAATCCAATTTCAGTACGGCCTACTTGTCTACAGCAGAGGTTACAACAGTGTCAAAATACTGGCAGATAACGTGCTTTTAAGGCACAACAACACATGGCGAGTTGAGGCGTGCAAGTGCACATGAAACCTTTCAAGGGTCTACCTGTATGGAAGCAGGTCCCCAGGAGAAGGTTCCACACACAGTCTCATTACCTTACTTGAACTGCTGGCTATACCTGCATTTATTCCCACGCTCCACATTTCGTCTTTTTATTACTTTTAAATGCTGGCAGACTCAAACAAACCCTCTAGGATCTACTTGAAAAATGTCGCAAAACTTCCTGTAATATCTGATTACGTTGTACCGAATAATCAGACTGTGATGGTGGCTGAAACCGGAGGGCGAGGGCAATGGTTGACCCAGTGTGGTCGATCAGGCGATCTATCGAGTGGGCGAGTGAGTTTTAAAACACACAGTTAGTCGTACATAACTGCACAATTGTGAATAGAGCTCTAGTGTGCTGGGCCGCTGTATGTTTTTCTCTTGACGCCTCTGGGAGAACCAGTTACGCAATACAGACCATATAGCTGGTCTGTGTGTCCAGCTGTTGAAAAAATATACCATTTACTTATTTATCTAATTACAGCAGTGGCATACCGGGTTGGAAACAAAGGCGCAGCAACTTGCCAATCGGTGCCTTGTCGGTCACGATACACCTATGCAACGGAAGATACCTTCTTTCAGAACAGTGGGGCAGAATTGGGCTGGCGGATGGGATCTAAACAGGCAAGTGTTTGAATTTATTTCCAATCTATCTGCACCAATTCGCAAAGGTTTAACAAAATTTCAAACCATAATCACAGTAGGGAATTCGACTGAATATTTTAAGGATATTCATCACAGATATACTCGGTCAGAGAGCACCTATAAATCTGTGACCGCGAATTCGTAAAACTAGGGTCTCAGGTTCAACATTCATGGATGTCAAGTGGTGCGCGCACTCGCGAATATTTCTTAAAGAACGAAACGACCGTCTGGTGTTTTTCCGCATGTACAGTGTCTGTAGTGGTGGTAGTAGTATAAGTACTAGTAGCAGGACTATCTTTGAGAATGGGGCGAATTGCCAAACTGGTGATCTCAGCCCTCTATTGCTGCTATGCTAAACTTATAAAACGCTCCACTCCCCTCCAATTTCGTGTAACAGTTGATGCTGAATAGGCAAACCTCCTACCCGAGTTTCAAATGAGCACCGCCAATGCCGAATACGCCCTGCACATAAACGTGCTGTAGTATGCTCATCATTACTGTAAATTCTGCTGCTACGACAGCAGCCCAAATAACAGTACACGATGGTAGCACTCGAATTGGAGTTCAGTTGCATTTTGTATGGTCCAATCACCACGTCCCACCAGTTGTTTCACACACGACCAGAGTCGCCGAGTGAGATAAAGTGAAGAGTGACCTTGTCCAGTCGGATGGGTGTACTTTCAATATTTCCACCATAAATGCAGCCAGGTTGTGCAACCGTCAGTCAGAATATTACAAAATGTATGCAAAACGAAATATATCATTCGAGATAAGTGGTCGCGTGTAGCAATAATGCATGTTGCTAGACTGGCGCGAAGTCATGACAGATATAATATGACAGCAAATTGTGAAAAATCAGGCTTTTTGGTATGAATTTGTGGGGAACCAAGTAGCTGCTTTGCTCACGTCTATTAGATTATCAAATACCGAAAGAGGGCTATACACGACTTAGAAATAAAGGCTGATGTTCCGAGACAATTAGTAAAGTGATATGGTGGTGTTTTTGTGTAAACCATTACACTTGGAAATGTACTTTACTATCTGTACAGTCAAAGTTTAATTCTTCGGATGGAAACCGGGGAAATAACGACAGAACAGTATAACCGATGGGGAAAATAATTGCAGGCACAACCACTACTAGTAAACAGGCAGGGACTAAAAGTACCTTGCACTTAACAACGTGAAAGATGACCTTCTGCTTACATGAGAGGTTTCACAAACGCGCATCGGTCCGGATGCATTCTGATAAAGAAATACACTGTGACTTTAGTTGGTGAATGATTAGATGTGACCTTCATGTTCATCGATGAGAGAATTTCATGTTTTGGACACAGCGATAGCGTGGGCGAATGACGGGGATGCTGACCAGCTGATCCATGCTCAGAAATGTAAGTCGCCTTCACAATGGGAACCATAAATCCCTGCGGGACCTGGTAGGAATGATTCTATTGAGCACAGACTGATGATGGGGTGAATATTTCAAAATAAGAAGGCAACAAGTAGGATAAATGCGCCCTGGCTAGAGAACAACCCAGTCCATATGAAACAATCACTAGATTATACTGTTAAATTCCATGAATTAGGTTAGCAAAATGATCACTTAGCAACTTGCACACATTTAGGTACATGCCTATATTATAGATTGAGAAGTATTGCTACCCTAATCCTGCAGAAAGCCATTGCTTTTCAGGGTCCAGGAGTTTGATAAAGCACATTCTTAGCAAACCCAAAAAGGATGTGTAAGCCACATTACGGCATTTAGTATGAAGCGGTGAGGTTTCCATGTGAGCCAGTAAATGTTCCCGTGAGCGGATGCGAACATCCGAAGGACAAGCCAACTTTCGGTGAGGTTCAACTGTACTTGGGTATACACAAAAGATGTAACCTTTGCGGACGAATCATTAATAATCCCTGGTGAACTTTGGACGGTCTCCAAATATTGGGGCTAAAATCATTGGGCAGAAAATGATTGAAAACAGCCGGTGAAGATAGTGTGAGGACGACAGTACACTTATTTATGACCGCTGAAAAACCATCCAAAGCGTTAGCTTTATTTGATTCCTTTCTTTGGGTTCTCTGCATCCATTTGGGGGATCGAAAACTTGGTAGGATTAGAACTCATGAAGAACGGTAAAGAAACTGTGCCCAGTGGTGTAATGCTAAACACTGATTCTATTACCAGTTAGGACATGATCGATGGCATAGTACAGACCAGTGAGTTGTTGCATTGGGAAATGGTTAGCTGACATCACCAAGTCGGAGTTGATCGACTGTGTGTTTCAGGCAGATTTGCTTTAAAGCAGTTAGTTCCCTACAACAATTTGAAAAGCACGGAAAGAAGACGAAGGCTGGTAGACGCAAGTATTTCCTATTGTTTCCTCAGTACGGTTAACAATAACCGATATGCATAGATATGGCTAACAGTGGGTGCAACCAGACAAGCTTAAGGTGCAAAACGAATGACGGAAGTTCACACCTACGTCCAAGGCAGCTTTAGGCTGACAAATAATTGTTTCTGAACGCATAAGGCTGGCTAACTCCGGCTTATAGCGACAGCCTCAGCAAACCGAAGGAAGTGGGGATTAGTGTGACGTACCACAAGTTGAAACGCTGAGCGCAGCTCTATATGGTTACGCGAGTCTAATAGGTGTTTGCCTATCGAGGAAGCCGGCGGTCTGTGCGAACATGGAATCTGACGAAGGTAGGCAATCTGAACAACTTCACGTTGAACCCATGTTGGTACATGTTCCTTTATTCGGGAACTCAGCGTGCTATTGGTTCTGCCTATGTAACTTTTTCCGCATGCACATACAAATTGGAACACACAGTGTGAGTTGGCCCCAATAGGCTGAGCTTCCTTCGTTGGAGGTTTGGGTAAATTTCGGGTTCGGTTGATGACGGTAACTTGTGCAGCATAGTAACTTCCTTGTGTAGCCGAAATTATACGCTTAGTTGTCTTCAGCGTGGCTAAGTCACGTTTGAAAGGTAACTCGATATACACTTTCTTCTTGGCTGCCGTGTGCACCAAGTCCTGTGGTCCTCGCGGTTGGCTGTGTTTCTCGATAAATATTCGAGGGTAGCCGTTCGCCATTAGTATTGCTGTAATTAACACTAGCTCATCGTCCAGACAGTCGGCCGAACAAATTTTTTGGCACGACTAACTAGAGTCTTCAGAAGTGTCCGTTTGTACCGCACTGGTGTGAAGCTGGTGAAGTGCAGGTTCTGACCGGACCAAGTTGATTTTTGGTAATTGGACCTCTTAATCACTCCATTATCCCTGCGACTTATGAGTATGTTAAGGTATGGCAGACAATTGTTCTGTTCTATTTCGCATGTAACCCGTAAGTTAGCATAAGTACAATTGAGCCGTTCTAACAAATGTGTGAGCTGCTGCTCCGACGAACAGAAAGCCAAGATATAATCGACATATCGTTTGTGGTAGAGCATCTGGGCTATTTCCGTAGAAATGCTTCTTTCTACCACCAGCATGAAGAAAGCAGCGAGGTTTAATTCTTTTCCAATTATTTGATACATTGCATTGCAACTGTCACATCGTATACTTTTCTTATATGTTCTCTGCCGCTAAGCGCATTCAACTCGTGGTTCAATGAATATGCGGGCTACGACTTCCGTACAGGACGTTGTCTGAGAGGAGTTTGTGGACATTATACCCAGGTGAGTGGTTCTCAGTGTACCAATGCATTATGTAACATGGTTGCTAAATTGAGGCGGGCACCTGTGACCTCATTCAGAGGAGAAGTCTCTTACATGGTTTGTCAAAATGATCAGTCAACTATGGCTCATTTGGTGAATCAAATTGAAGTTATCAGTAGAGCAGCCCCCATCATCGCTACCAGTCTCACTATTGCATTTCGTACAAACGGTAAATGTAACAACTTTACAAAACCACTACTCCTAAAGTGCATTGTGCGTAGCCGTACTGTGGCGCTCGTTCGAATGAGAATATTTCCTAAGAGTGTAATAACCCTCAACAATCTCCAATCTGAGAGCACCTTGTTTAAGTACACTGCAAGGCATGTGGAAGTCGGGGAATCGAATGAAACTGAGAAAGCAACACAAGCCTCAGTGAATACACTGTGCGGCCACTCTAGGCTCTGTCAAGCAGCCGGAGTTGTAGCCAACCAGCTCACAAAAGACGGAGCTCAGTAAGGATTCAAGATTAGTCAGAAGGAATAAAAGAATTCCAAGATGACACAGCACCCTATGATTTCATCGCAAGTGAAGTAAGGGGTTGGAGATCTTACTGAAATCAAACAGAAATCGGTGCGTGGCAAAACACGAAGAGAAATTTGCCTTGTATGGTCGTTCTCCACAATAAATTTCACCAATATAAAACAATAACCCTCTGGCATTTCAATTGCTTAGATGGAAGAAAACTATGCTTCCCGAAAACCGTTACGTGTAATCTTAAGCGCCCCAAAAGGTAACGTTTAGTTTCTGAGTATACATTCATCCCTGATGTATTGTACATTAATACTTTTTTCTATCTCCCTAACACTGTGGCCATGTTGGCCTGTATCCGACTTAACACTCGTCCGCTCTGTGTTATAGTGCTAACGTTCGTTCTTGTCTTGCTTTACCCGTCCACGTCTTCTTGTAGCCCATCGAATAGAGTCCGCTCTACCCGACTTCATTTGTCTTCTGATATAAACGTTTGTTTACGCGTATCTTCTTGGACCATCCATCGTCACCGCACCAGTCAACGGATATCCGAGAGGTCGGGGGACCAGTTAGAACCTAGAAGACACCTCCTGGCTGGCTCTGAACACAATGGGACCAGACGGGCTATTAGGCGTGAACTCAAGCAGATCCTACGTGCTGACAAGGAAGCCTGGTGGACCAGTAGGGCTCAAGAAATGAAGGAGGCAGGAGCAGTAGGCAAGTATCGCAAGCTCTTCCAGGTAATCCGCACCACTGGTCCCAGAAAACCAGGCGTCAGTGACACAATCAGAGACAGCGCAGGTGCGCTGATACACAATAAGGAGCGCCGTATGGCTCGTTGGGAGGAGCATTTTCAAGATCAGTTCAGCTGGCCCCCTACTCCCGGACCTCTTCCTACTCAAGTGATGCAGGACGAGCCATGGACGGTCAGTTTAGAGCCTCCGTTGGAGGCCGAGGTCCGAAACGGGATCACAGCCCTTAATCGTTTTCGTGCTGCTGGCCCGGATTCCCTGCCACCTGCACTATTTAAGGATGGAGGTGAGGTCCTCTGCAGGGCAATGACCTCCCTATTCGAACGTATCTGGCACGAAGAGAGTGTGCCGGCTAATTGGAGCGAATCGATTATGGTGGCAATATACAAGAAGGGCAGTCGCACAGACTGTGCGAACCACAGGGATATTAGCCTAACGTCAGTTGTGACAAAATTACTGGCCTCGATTATCGTTCGTCGCCTCACTGCAGAACGGGAATCTCGGATTAGGGAAGAGCAGGCCGGTTTTCGCCCAGGACGTGGCTGTATAGACCATATATTTACTTTGCGGCAGGTGCTAGAGCAGCGCCACGCATACCACAGACTGACAATAGCTGTGTTCCTCGATTTCAAGAGTGCGTTCGATGCAGTCGATCGATCGATTCTGTTCGAAATACTTGCGCGGAAAGGTGTTCCCACGAAATATGTGAACATCCTTCGTGCTCTCTACTCGAACACTACAGGCCGCGTCAGGGTCTACGGTGTCCTATCGAAAAGCTTTCTGACCACAAGTGGCGTTCGTCAGGGTTGTCCGATTTCCCCATTTTTGTTCAATTCCGTCGTGGATTCTATCAAGGAGTGTTCCCTTGCGGAATCTCACGATGTAGGCGTTGAAGTGCTGCCTGGTGAAAGGTTAGTTGATCTAGATTACGCAGACAATATCGTCTTGCTTTTCGACGATGTTGGGACGGCACAATCAACTCTGAATATCCTGTCCAGAGTGGTCCCATTATTTGGTATGCACTTCGCACGTTCAAAGTGCAAAGTGTTGCTGCAGGACCACCAGCCACTTGATGACCATTTGACGCTTGCTAACGAGGAACTCGAGGTGGTTGATCAGTTCACTTATCTTGGCAGCTGCATCAGCAACGATAGGCGCATAGAAACTGATGTCAGCTCACGCATTGCAAACGCCAGAGCTGCCTGTTTGAACCTCCGGCATCTTTGGCGGCAGAAGGGTTTCCCTCCGTCTGAAAGGCCGTGTATACAAGGCCACAGTGAGGGCCGTCTCCCCTATGGTAATGAGACTTGGCCCTTTCGGTCTGAAAATCTGAGGCACCTTCAAGTCTTTGATCATCGTTGTTTGCGAAGCATTGCCGGTGTCGGATGGCACCAGCGTGTCCGCAACGATGATGTGCGTAGGCGAGTACTAGGTAGTGATAAACATGCTAGCTCCCTAGAACAACAGATAGTACTGAATAAGTTGCTTTGGCTCGGGCACATGGTACGTATGCCTGGTCACCGCTTACTTAGGATGGCTTTCTTCAGTCTATCAGGTGTAGGATGGCGCAAGGCTCGAGGTGGACAGAAGTTGACTTGGCAGCGGGAAATGAAGTCACTGACGACCAAACTGGTACCGTTGGTCCGTCTCGTCTCCCGGGCTGGAGTCCACGTGACTCGCCTTGTGTTTGTCTCGAGACTTTACAGGACAACGCTCGCAGTGGACACCAGTGGTGCGTCTGCTACCGTCTCCCAATTGGATTGCCTGTTTAAAGTGTGTTCGGTGTCGAGTTATCTGCGGGGTAACGGCTGATTTTGACAAGTGGCAGTGAAAGCCGCAAGGAAGCTCTCTCGCCGATGCCGCCTTATCTTTGCACGATAGCCAGCTGTTTGTGACGGTACGTTGTCTACACTAGGCGCCTTGACCCTGAATGTTTGCTTAAGGCATTAAGGTTTTCAGGTAAGTCCCCCTTCTCTCCCTCTTATATTTCATAGATCCTCATGGTTGTATGGCAGCGAAGCATCAGTTCAAATGGCTGATGTACCACTGTTCATCATGATGACTAGTGTTGACTAGTCCTATAATGAAAAGCATTCCGGTAACAAGACAACACAACGATCTGATAGATGTACTTTCACGGAACAGGCATCGAAAACACGAGCGAATTTGCCGACTTTAGGTTTGTCTTTACCCTTTGTTATTAGATGTCGTGCCCTCCGCGGTCGCGCTTTTGCCAAGGTTGCCTGGATGAGTTTAAGTCCCTGAGGACAGTCCAGTAGAGACGAGTGTGCTGGTAACCTCCCTTTGAAACGCACTCAGGATGTCTGAAACGACGGTGATCATCCTGTACGAGCACACCGAAGTCCTATTCCTGAGTGATGGAATGTAGATCCTGCTTCCGAAGCCGTAGACGTAGGCGTGTCGATGGAGGATGTCAAGAGGGCTGCACTCAACCACATTGAATGGCAGCGCGTTCCTCACCAGCAAATCCAGGCCTCATCGAGGCTGCGGTGGAAGATTTCGTGATCGCCGAATTCCTTGATCGTCAGTCAACTTTTAACGTCTCACGCGAAGAAGCGACAACTCACACTAGATGATTAATGAAGACTAAGAATAGGCAAGGCGATATGCTGCGCTGCACACAAATTGGTTCGGATAAAGTTGTTCGGACTCAAACTTCCACTTGCCGTTCGAGTACCAAGTTACCAAACCCTATGAATACTGGGTGTCCGATGTCATGGTACCGAAATTTGTGAAGCAGGATACGATGATCCAAGCGATTGAACGGTCTTGAAAAGTCTAAGCAACTGACATCGGCTCCAGTCTTTCGTCGACTGCTTCAATCCAGTTGCTACGTGTTATCGGCAGGTTCTTAGTATACATTCGACGTTGACGAAACCTGTGCTACTGCGGCGTGATGATGCCGTAGCTTTCCAGGTAGCCCATCATTGTGTCCACTATGATACTTTCCATGACCCTGACATGCACAGGAAGAAGCCTTACCGAACAGTAATTAGCAGGCTCAGATGCACTTTTACCCTTACGGATAGCGGTGATAATACCATGTTTCTATTTTGACCGAACTGTGTTCTCGTCAAACCAGCGGTAAAAGAATACAACTGTTGGTTTGACTAGCTTCAAGGCTGCTGTCTCAGTGCCTTGGGGTGAATTTTGTCCACTCCAGGAGAGCCGTGTGTGCGGAAGGACATTAGCTTTTTCAGCACCGTTTCTTCTGTGAATGTGATGTTGAAAAACACTGGTGGCGGAGTGATAGAAACAAGAATAACTTTATAGGCTTGTACCCTTTGGGAAGCAGGTGAGTACTGGACCCATAAGGCTGTGGCTGCTTCTTTCACTGGGTGTGTATACCCACTAACCATAGTGAGTATTGATCTCGTGCTTCTTTGTGACGAAGCTTACGGTTAGAACAGAATAGTTTAAGCACGGACCAAATGAACCCAACGTTTGTGTTGAGCTATGTACGTTGTACAATTTTCCGTGCTGGGATTACTTTTTGTAAACTTTCCGTGTCCGATCCCTTAGGGGCATACATTTTTGTGTTCGGTTTCTCAAAATCGATTGGGTTTGGAGGGACAATGGAAAGCTTTTTGCTCCCATGCTTTTGCGACTAGTGACGTGAACGCTTTTAAGGATGTTTCGCGGGTCACTTCTGGAGTGCACTCAGTCATGGATGTTCAACTAGCGTTTTTAACGTGTGCGGACGATGGTAATGTGTAGTAG